TACTCCCTTTCCCTGAAGACATTCACCCAAGTGTCGCTTGTTGCAATTGGAGCATTGAGGAAAAGTTTTATTTGAGTCTGACCTAATCTTTCCTTTCTTGTTCTGGTTCCTACCTTTCTCCTTATCATGACCTTGCCACTTTCTCTTTATAGACGACTCGATGCTGGGTTGGGTTTTCTTTTCCAGTCCTAAACCATTAGAGATTGCTTGTGCTCGACGTACAACCTCTGCATAAGTAGTATACTGCTGGGCTGCCATGATTCCCTTGATCTCTGGCCTTAACCCCATCTCAAACCTTTTAGCCTTTGTCAGCTCAGTGTTCACCATATGCGGTGCATACCTAGAAAGTCGTTCAAATTTTCTTTCATACTCCCCAAGTGGCAAATTTCCTTGCGTGAGCTGGAGAAATTCTACCTCCTTTTGATCTTTCAGTGACTGGGGAAAATATTTACCCATCAGTGACTCCTTGAACTGGTTCCAAGTGAGGTTACGTTGTTGTTCTGTAGTTCTAGTACGTGTTTCGGACTCCCACAAATGTCCAGCATCATCAGTCAACATAAATTTCGCACAAGAAACCTTTTGAGCATCATTACAGTTCATGTGCTCGAAGATCCCTTCAAGTCTTCTCAGCCACTCCTCAGCCGCAAAAGGGTTACCTTTACCATCAAAGGATGGGGGCTTAAAATGACGAAACTGTTCAACAATTGAGCTCATGGTGTTGGCACCTCCTGTTGCATTATGAGGTGCCGCTTGAGCCTGCTGCCTGCCCAAGTCTTGCACTGCCCTTAGTAAATCTCTGAACATAGTAGCTTGATCTTGTTGTCGTCGTGCCATTTCCTTGAAGTAAAAGTAATTTATCTTAAGAACTACTCAACCATACTACACTCTTCCTAAAGGTTTTTCAATATTTAGTCATGTCTTTCGTGTATGTTATGCTAAGGCCAAGTGTTATACACTAAGGTTCTAGTCATATAAGAATTGCTTTACTAATCATACTATCCTACACAAAATAATCATTTGCTTAATTAACATTCTCCCTTAAAGTAAAATGACGTGTAGAAAAAAAAAATCATGCAATTAACTAGTATGCACTGAAATATAAATGGTAATATCAATAAAAATATTCTTCATCCTTACATACCTTAAAATATTGGACAGTGGTAGATTGATGAGCATTGGATTCCATGGATCTCGTAACTTATAAATTTTTGTAAATTTTTTTTTTTTGGTATAAAAGTTTCTAAAATGAAAGAAACTTCTAAAACTGTAGTGGGTTTAAAACATTATTTTTCGTCTTATCGATTTGAATAACGCGCAACTAAAAAGGCTTCCAGGTGAGGAGGGGGGTCACAAGTGGACCGCTTAAATCCCAAGCTTGCCTTAGACAGTTTAGATCTTTTTGACAAAGCCTCTTAGTTTTACGAATACTCAAAGCAAGAAAACTCAAACAATGAATCTCCCAAAAAGATTAAATATATATAGCTTTTTTTTTTCTTTCAAAATTTTTAAATTTTGAAAATCTACAGGAAGTAAACCATTGCTCTGATACCAAGCTGTAACGCCCCGAATTCTTTAGCAGCCCGGAACGTTACCAAACGTGAATTGATTAATAAAGTGCTTGAGGCAAATACATTTTAATAGAACGAGGAATTCAGTAAAAATTGAACAACCTTAACAAAAGGTAAATTAAATTAAATAACATATGCAGAACAATTTGGAATCATATCTTTTATCAAACATTAATAAAAGTAGTTCTAACAAATAATAAAAATAGGACTAATTGAAAGTTATGACGTGACTCACAATTGAGTCTAAATTTAAAAATAATAATAATCAACTGTTAATAAATATTCTAGTGTTTTTAAAAATTAAAGTACTTCATGATGGAGATCCATTGGTCCAATATGCATCCATCCACCGCCGTCCAGCATACTAATTTCTACCTGAAAATTGTAAATAGAGAGGGATGAGTATAACGAATTATACTCAATGAGATACTTGCTACTCCACATTCAAATCAAACGTGAAATTATGCATAAATTCTCTTACCAACATAACATGAGAATTATCACTCCATGACAAATGATAATTCAAGCAAGCGCTGCAAATAACGTGAAGGCTAAATTGTGCCTTAAACTGTATCATGATTTCTCCCAAAGGAGCTCTGAACTGGAGTAATTAAATCCTTACATAACAACGTATTTGAAAAGATGTGGATAAACCACTAATAGCACTGAGTATCTCACCTTACGTAATGAATCGTGTGGAGCAAAATTGCAGGGAAACGAGATTCTTGATTGTATATTCAAAGATTTAATGTTT